ATATGAAGAAAGTGTGAATGTGCATAGCATACAAAATGTATCCTATGGTGCCTTCTCTATAACCTAGGAAAACATTTTTAGAGCCTCTAGTTTAGAATTTAGTTCTATATGAATGTAGAGTGGTGGCATAAGCAAGGCAACTGAAAACTTTGAAGTTAGTTAGATTAAGAGGTTGTTTATACAATAGCTCATATGACATTTATTATGAAGAAAGGGAGAATGTAGTTTATTTATTATGTACATAGCATGAACAATGGTGAAGTTCCAAAATTTTTGTGACATGAATGCTTGAAAGAACAAAGCACTATTGAGGATGTGTTGATGTTTCCTTTGAGGAGTTTCAACACATGTTCCTTGGTGCAAGATTCCCTTTGATTTTAAAAAGTCACTCATGAGGAATTCTACACCATTGTCACTTCTAAGGCATTTCAATCTAGTTTAGAACTGAGTTTTAATATAAGAACAGAAATCAACAATATGTTGTCTAGTTTTAGATTTTTTTTCATGAAAATAACCTAAGTATGTCTGTTGAAGTCATCAACTAAGGTTAGAAAGTATTTATGACCATAACAAGAAGGGATGGAATATGGACCCAAAATATTAGCATGCAAAACATCAAAGATTTTATTAGAAACAGAAGTACTCATGTTGAAAAAGAACTGTTTCATTTTAGACAAATAGCAAATGTCACAAAGAGAATGCATGCTGTCAAAGTGTTTTATAAAGGGAAATTGTAAACATAAAACTTTAGAAACAGAATTAGACACATGACATAATCTTAGATGCCATAACAAAGTATTATTGTAACTACTAGCACTAAAGTGATGAACATTAGTACAAGGAGTTTGTGATTCTTCTTGTGATATGTTCAGGATAAGAAGACCTTGATCCCTCGTAGCTGAACCAATCATCTTCTTGATGATATTTGCAAAATAAAACATGTATTACTGTTCAGAATTATGCGGCAATCAAGCTGATCCATAAGCTTTATTACTAAAACAAGATTTACAAGAAATTTAGGTACAAACAAAACATCATGTATCAGGATGGAGTCAGTTAACTTGACAATGCCAAAAATAGATGTAGTGACTTAGCTGCCATCAAGCAGAGTTATGAAAATAGGAGAAATGTTCCTATGATATAAGAAACTACCTAATGAATGAGTAATATAATCAGTAGCTCTTGTGTCAAGGAGCCAGTGTTTATTGAATTATCTGTTTGTAGAGTTGGAAGAATAATACCATTCAACTTAGGAAGTTTTGTAGTGACAGTATTTGCAACATGTTTCTTGGCTTGCTTTGATTTTTGTAGTAATTCCATTAGACACGTAAATTGGTCCTTGCTAAGCATAACTCCTTCAACATCATTGTTGTTTGGACTAGACTCTTCTGAACTATTATCCAAAGGGTAGGTACTACCATTGTTGGCCATATAGTTGGTTCTTGTTTGAGCTCCTTAAGGAAACCCATGTTTGAAAAAAAAAAGTATCAATCATGTAGTTTGTCTTCTTGCAATGACTACAATATTTAGTATTTTGCTAACTCTGTCATTATTAGTCTTGTTCTTATTTTGCACTTTCTTTTTATTTGAAGCAAAATTCTTGGAGTTTTGTTGTGAGGATACTGACAAAATTTTTTATTATGAGTTTCTCACTAAGGATGCATCATTGGTGAACTGCATTTCTTGTTGGATCACCATGGAGAAAGCTTCTATTATAACTAGTTAGGGATGGCTAAACGGGCCAGCCTGCCATGACCCGTCCAAAAATGGACTAGCCCGAGCTTGCCTTGTTTGAAAAATGGGCTAGGTTTTCTAGCCTAATCCGTTTAAGATTGGGCTGGCAAGCTAACAAAAACCAAAAAAGAAAAAGAAAATAAAATAGTGGGCCATTTAATTAATGGGTCAATCCATCAAAAAAGTAACAAAAAATTACAATAAATAATAAAAAAAATATTTAAAAATAGTTTTATATTAATAAAAATTAATATTTAATTAATAAATAATTATTTTTAAAATTTTAAAAATAAAAAATGGGCCCAACGAGCCAGCCCCCTCTAGCTCGAATTTTGGCAGGCTAAAATGGGGTGGGCTAAATGGGCCATCAAATCCAAATCACTCAGCTTGACCTTCTAAATTTAGTGGGTTAAACGGGCTGGCCCGTCAGGTTAAGCCCATTTAGACAACCCTATCTGATTTGATCAACATAATTTGTAAATGTACCTAAGCATATTGTTCATTTAACCCTTTGAGAAACTTAATTACAATGTCTTGTTTCTTATGACTTACCATTGAAGAAATTGCCCTGCAAGAACACGGGATGGAACATTTGCAGTATGGTGTGGGCCAATAATTCTCTATTTCTTCCCAAATTGATTTTAAGCGTGTAAAGAAATTGCAACATCAGAGGAACCTTGCTGAAGACGATGAAATTCTTTTTAAATATTTGATATGTGGAAGATGTCTCCTTGGGAGTATCGTTTATAAAGATCTTTCCAAGTATATGTCATTTTCTCAAACCAAAGAATGAATTTCACTATGGATGGTTCACAAGAATGTGGAATCTAGGATAGGATCATGTTGTTGCTTCATTTCCATGGATCAAATAAGGGATCACTTTTTGTTGATGAAGATATCGTGCCATCCAGAAATTGCATCTTGTTCTTTGTTTCCAAAGCTTGGCGCATTCCTTGTGCCTAACCATAGTAATTTTTTCTATTAAACGGGGTGAAACAAGAATGAGAGTTGGGTTTTCACTGGAATGCAGATAATATGGATTAGACGGGTTGGTATTGTGATAAAGGAAAGAATGAGGAACTGGAAAGAAGACAAGAAAGTAGTCAACTCTTGTGAAGCTCTTGATACCATCTTGATATTAGAGAGAATTTGAAAGTGCATTTCTGTATATTAAATTTACCAATATGTTCTACTCAAAATAGTTACTTAGGGGGGCTTTATACAGCAAACTAATGTTGTAACAAATAACAATGGACTTGTTCATAATTATAACTAACTCTCTAACCGTAATAACTAAATTCCTACCAGAAATAATTGCTAACAAACAAAACTATTTACTATCTTTACATCAACCTTTTTCTCATTTCCTTCTTTCTATGTTCAACACTCCCTCTCCTACCTCAATATCCAACTCTCACCATCTTCTTCCTCCTCTCATGTTCAACTCCTTTCTTTTTCTCCCAACTCTCTCTTTCTTCTATCGCCACCTCATACCCAACTCTTTTCTTCCTCTCTATACCTTGATCTCACTCCTATCTCCTATCTCCCATCTTTTTTCCTCATACTCAATTTCTCCACTCCTACTTCTATATCATTTGCTCTTTCCATCTCCACCCATCTCTAACTCTCTTTTCCCCTCATTCAGTCCTTTTCTCTGCTTTCTCATAAGAAAGAATGCAAAATTTGTGTATATATATATATATATATATATTTTTTTTATTTTTTTTTTTCACTCCAATTTTTCTAAGAATCCATTTTTGCCTAAAATAGAATGTCCATTCACAACGGAAGAGGATGGATATATTTTGCCAGGGGAAGGAGTAAAGTCCATTACCCATGAATTAATTAAATAAACGAGAAAACTCCAGAAATTATGGGATTTAATTTCTAAGGTTGCTGTAATATTGTGTAATCGCTTTCAATAACGTTATTGTGGATCAAATTTCTGTCACTTTCATATTATTCCAAGTTTTATCGATCTATTTTTCTTCAACCTTACGAATTTTCATTAAAATTTAACTTAGTATTTTTAACTACAACTTTCTTTAAAAGAATAATCTAAACTGATTTCAAACATACATGTAATAATTCATACGTAGTAATAATGAAAATAAGTAAAATTTTTGTAGTTCTAAACGGGTGAGAAATTGGTGTCGATGGATTTTCCTATTAAAAAGATTGTAATTACCTTCTCATATCATAGAAAGAAACAAAGAAAGAACGTTTTATTTGATTGAGGGGATTCACAGTTGGAGGCGGCTATATTGAAACACAAGCGTTGAAATATAAAAATAAGAGATGCTAAGTGGTAGGCGCTGCAACCCCACTAATTAGCTGATTACATACGGATGCGACTATTAGACACAGTGCATGATGATGAAGACAAAGCGATCAAGTTATTTTAACACTACAAGATTTTCACGTTGTCTAATATTATAGTGGACAAAGATTTTTTATTTTGTTACTTTAATAATATAGAATCGTTTTTGACAATTAATAAACTATAATTATAATCTGTTGTTTAAAATTTAAATGAACAACTGTTATTTTAAAGAATAATTGTATAATCGTTTATAATAAATTATACAAAATTATTCTAAAAATTTATATAACAATATTTAATTTGTATTGAAAAATATTTAAAATAGAAAATAATTATTAATTATTGCACAAATTTATTAAAATTATTCTATTATAATATAAGTTTAGTTATATAAAATTTATAGTTTTTATAAACAATAAAAAAATTCTTAAAATATAATAACTACAATCACTAATCGTTATTTAAAATCTAATTATATAATAAACTATAAAAATAATATTTTAAAATAGTTATTCATTATATAATAATTTAAATTTGATGTAATAACTAATGAATACGAATTGATGCCCTATATCAATTATTTAGTTGATAATAACGTTTCAACTTGGGGTAAGGAAACAAGAATGAGTGACGTTTGAAGTTGAATTGTGTGGCTATATTTAGAATATAGGAACGTTTCCCTCACGTTAGGCTAAATGGCACATAATGGACTTCATCATATATATATATATATAGGTTGTTGTTTTCTTTTCTTGTTCAAAACTATCGGCGTGGTGATATTATTGTACGTATCAAACAGATGAATAACAAATTACCGTATATTTCCATGGAGTGATTGACGGGGCCAAAAGTCTTTGCCATGTACTAATCCAAGAGTACTCTCAACTCTTTCCCATTTTATTGTTAAGACTATATATATAGGTAGTAATATGGAGCAAAATATATATACATATCACTTAGTGTTAAAAGAGTTGAGTTATAGTTTACTCAATAGATATGTTCTTCTCAAGAGGCAATACTGCCATCCCTGCCATATTCCTGCTTCTAGGAATATTATCTTCCACTGGAGTAGAATTTACGGGTCATTACTCTCTCTCTCTCTCTCTCTCTCTCTCAATGATACATAGATGCCACTGTCTCTATGCGCTGTTCCTTTAGTTTAATTTACCAAAAGTCGTAATCATATTAATTACCTGAGCCGCCAGCCATATATTCTATTTCAGATTATTAAACATATAATCAGTACCTTCAATTAATCGCTTTCTTTTTTCTTTGGTTATATAAGAATGCATATTCTCTTGCACCATTTTTCCGTACGTGCTTGAAAGTATTCAGACACGACCATTCATGTTAGAACACTCCTCCAATTAACAAAAATTTTCCGTACTGTTTTTTAAGTTCAACTATCATAAATTTTCTCCTTACTATATGATTCAACTTAGCAGTAGACATATATTTTCGACTTATGATTAGTATAAACGTAAATATACGTGTACATGATGTTTATATTGGACGTTACAATCTTAATCACTTAATTTTTGTTCTACATTAATATATGATGCAGGAGCACAATCTGTGGGAGTGTGTTACGGAGGAAATGGAAACAATCTACCCACAAAGCAAGCAGTGGTGGACTTATACAAATCAAACAGAATAATGAAAATCCGTTTATACTATCCAGACGGAGGAGCCCTTCAAGCCCTCAAAGGTTCAAACATAGAGGTGATTCTTGGAGTCCCTAATGACCAACTTCAGTCACTTACCAACGCTGGAGCTGCCACAAATTGGGTCAACAAGTACGTGAAAGCCTACACACCAGGTGTCAAATTCAAGTACATTGCAGTTGGCAATGAAGTTCACCCAGGTGATGCTGCAGCAGGTTCAGTTCTTCCCGCACTACAGAACATTCAGAACGCAATTTCTTCAGCCAATTTACAAGGCCAAATCAAGGTCTCAACTGCAATAGACACCACTCTACTAGGAAAATCATACCCACCAAGAGATGGCGTTTTCAGCAATGGTGCAACTCCCTATATAAAGCCAATCGTCAACTTCTTAGCCAAAAACGGTGCCCCACTTCTTGCAAACGTGTACCCATATTTTGCTTACGTTAATAACCAACAAAGCATTGGTCTTGACTATGCTTTGTTCACTAAACAAGGTAAGAACGAGGTTGGGTACCAAAACCTGTTTGATGCGTTGTTGGATTCTCTCTACGCTGCTCTTGATAAAGTAGGTCAATCCAATATTAAGGTGGTTGTGTCTGAAAGTGGGTGGCCGTCAGGAGGAGGAGCTGGAGCCACTGTTCAAAATGCAGGAACCTATTACAAGAATTTGATTAATCATGCAAAGGGTGGAACTCCTAACAAGCCTGGACCCATTGAGACATACCTATTTGCTATGTTTGACGAAAACCAGAAGCAAGGTCCAGAAATTGAGCGACACTTTGGTCTCTTCAGACCCGACAAATCTCCTAAATACCAACTAAATTTCAGTTAAACAAGTATTGCTAAGTTATCATAAATAAACAAACTCGGTGTCATTTAGAATAAGGGTGCCTCGTGCCAGTGGTTTTAGTTTCACCAATAATGTAGAACACACTCCAAGCTTCTAATTAATAAATTTTTATCTACCACTTTATATTGCGCATGCATACATGTTTTATTTAAATGTTTTAACTTACGAGTTTTGTTCTTTGCCAAGAACTTTGTAAACACGTGTGGAGGTGGAAAATGGGATATTTGTCCGTTTTGTAATACTTCATATTTTATTGAGTTTGGTCAAATTTACTTCTTATTTAAATTATAAAATAAAAATTAATATTTAAATCCTCATTTTTCACTTCAATAAATAGAATTAACTCCAATTTAATTACTGGAAAAAATAGATAACTTGATTAAACCAAATTTTATCTTACATTTTAACCACATTAATTATAATTAATTAGCTCAATCGAACAGATTTATTTTACTAACTCTAAAATACAAGAAAGTACAACAGACTAATCAATAGTGACAGAGTTGGTCAAAATTTCTACCCATTAAAGGGTAGATGTTCTTCAAAATTCATTTTAAAAAATAAACTGCGTTAATTAAAACAAATAAAGATTTTATAAAACGCTAACGCAAAACATGTGTTGTTTGTTTTTCAATTCGGGTATCATTTTACGGATACCTTAGTATGGTTTAATGTTTTCATTTAATGTAGGGAAGAAGAATATTTTGTGTATCATTGGAAAAGGTATTTTAATTTTATGTGATCCTTTAATATTTAGGGCATGCTCTTAGAATATACGTGTATAAAAAATAAAGTAAAAGATAAAGATAAAAATAATATATAATATTATATACGATATTTAATTTTTAGTAATTCAAGTAATTACATAACTGTTCAATAAAACCTCAAAGTCTCAAATGAAAAAAAAAATTCAAATTTTCACAAGATTTATTGTAAATGGGTATAATTACACTATAAATTTTCATTAGCATTAATCGTCTGCCTTATTTTTAAATTTATCAATATATGTTAATCCAATAAATTTAGTTATCTTTAATCTACACATCACTTTCAAATCTTCCGAATAGAAAGAAAAAATGTTAGAAGAATTTTTTCTTTTATATAAAATTAATGTAAAATTATAATAAACAAATAAAAAAATAGAAAGAATAATGTTAGAGAAAAAGAGAGAATTTCAATATTATTTCATACAAAATTTTTATTTATAGACATAAATCTATAACTCAAGAGTCTTATATATTTAAGAGTACAATAAAAAAGTAGTTATGTGAATATCTATTTTTTTTTTCCACAGTTGATCCCAAGTTTTTATAGAATAAATGTTGTTTATATATATATATATATATATATATATATATATATATATATATATATAAACTTGGAAATTAATTTTGTCCCTAGAAACAGAAATTTTTCACATAAGAAAGGAAACTGAAATTTTTTTGACGTTTTGCAAAAACTCTAAATAGACCTATATAAAAGCACAAGTAAGGAATATGAGGAAGAACAACTTTTGGAGTGGGAGTAAAGAGGGGCAATTAGTTTTGAGAGAGTAGAGCAAATTTTTTTTAAAAAAGGAGATCTAAAATCAAAAGGAGGACATAGGATAAGAAGAGGAGTTTTCGGACAATGAAGAGGAAGTTTTAAAAGAAAAGAGAGAGTTCAAGAATAGATCTTCTTCTTACCTCATTTCTTGGGTACATGAACTTTCACCCTTTTTCCTTAGTTTTTTTTACTGAAGTTAAACTTTTATTTTGTCATTCTTTTTTAACTTTTTGTTTCTTCTCTTGCCATTGATGGAATGTATAGGAATGAATAGTTATTTTTATTAAGTTGAATAATTGATGTGACCCTTGCTTGCTTGATGGGCATCTTTCTTTTTTTTTTTTCTCAATCATACCTTTTGCTACTTTTCCAAAAGCAATGTAGATTTCAATGATGCAATAAATGGCTTTTTAGTTTTATCCAGCGACTTAAGGTTGCTGGTTACCCCTACTTCTTCTTTTTTTAATTCACCTTTTTTATTTATTTAGCCCATTTTTTATTCTTTCTAAAAAAATTATTATCTTTTATCATTATTATTATTTATATTTTATATTTTATTTTTTAATTTTAGTTTATATTTTATTTATTTATTTATTTTAAATTTAGTTCTCTTAGTCCTACTCATTGATTTTCTTTTTTAAGCAATAATAGTTAAAATAATTATAATAAAAGAGAATTAAAATTTATTAAGTGTAACATAATTTTTTATTATTATTGCATTATATTTGAGTTGTATTTTTATTTGTAAAGTTTATTTCATTTTTACATTGATAATAAATTCTCCCTTTTATGTTATTTTATTATTTATGCTTACTCTTTAAGATTGTTTTATTTTATTTTATATATTTGTAGAACATTGATATGATTTAATTGTATATTTGTGATTATCTCATCTTATTTTATGAATAGTAAATTGTTTCTTCAATGAACAAATAGTAATATAATTATACCAATTTATAATACTAACGTATAACTTCTCTATTATCATGTATTATAAATTGATAAAGTCTACATGTATCTATGTTACCAAGACTTTATATAACATTAATTTATCATATGTTATCTTAAATTAAGTAAAAATTATCTTAATAATCAATCAAAATGTATTTCCTGTAATCACTATTTTACCAATCAATCGATTTAAATAGAAGTTATTTAATTAACATAATAAATTATAATACTAATGTGTAGCGACTCTATATTTATGCGTTATAAATTGTTAGAACCTATATGTACCAACGTTACCTTTGGTTCTATACAATATAAATTTATCAAACAAAGTTTTAATTTTTTCTTATTAATTATTTTTTTAATCAATTTAAATATGTTTATTCCTTTCATTAAATAGAATTAATCTCATTTTATTTTATTTTTAAATCGTATTTCTAATTTTGATAAATTAAATAACCAATCATTTCTACATTCTATTATACAAATTTTTGCAATATCGATGTGCGATTTACATTACTTTTAATTGTCTAATAAATTATACGAGATTTATGTATAGCTTACGCTATCTTAAATATCTTTCAACATTTATCATAATCAAAATTCAAATTCAAATTCAAATACTTCATTTACAAATAAAATACTTTTTAACGATTTGCAATATAGTTGTGTAATCTTTCTTCACCATCTGTATTGTTTCTCGTAAGGTACATGTATAACTGCGTTATCGAGTATCCTAAATATTATAATTTTATAAAAAATAATTTTAATTTCAAAATAAACTTTCTTTGACTAAACTTAATTTTAATCAATCAACTTCATAATTTTTAGATAGAACTATATGACTTTGAGTTCTCCATTGCACCTAGGGATACATAAGAGGAGGAACCGAACCCATCAAGTCAAAATAATTTTTAAAATAATTTTTTCTCTTTTAAGATACCGAGTTAACATTTCAATAAATAATTTTTTCTTCTAGAATAAAATAATTAATGTTTAGGGGTTAAATAAATATTTTTCAAAATTAAAATAAATTTGCACAATTAATTTAAGGTAACCGTTTTTAAATGAACGTTGTAGGGTTGCGACCGCCCGGTTGCAACAATGTTTAATTTTGTAACTTTTATTTTTGTTGAGTTGATAATGTTTGTATGTTCCTTCACACACCATTACTTACACATTCATCACACACTTTGAGCGAGGCCCTATACCCGGGTCTGAGTATACTTAGGATTAGAGGGTTATATAGCGGTGTCATTTTATATGCACGTTCTATGTGGCTATTGTGAAAACCTTAGCTAGAGTTTGACCTTTTCTTGATGTCCCACATCTAGTAGACTCTTACTGTTGTGGTCAACATCAAGGATTTGCATGTTTCTTGTAACACCCTCATTTTGTATTTTATTATTATTGCGATTAATGTTAGTTATTGGTGCATGTTATTTGAAATTAGAAGTGTTTAATTGATGTGAACTGTAGAATATCTTACTGTAGCGAGACAAATCTCGCTGTAGTGCGAATAAGGCGATAAAAATGGAACATTCTGAAGCTATCTCGTTGTAGCTAGAATCTCTCGCTGTAGCGAGGATGCTCTCGCTATAGCTAGAATGACAGACAACAAAGGAAGAAAACTTCTAATTTTTTCGCTATAGCGAGAACCTTTCGCTGTAGCGAGAAAGTCACGAGTTTGAGAGATATTTAAAGAACTCCCGCCCTAAAATCTTCAATTTCAACCAAATCACATATCCCTCTCCATCCTCTCCATCCTCTCCATTCTCTCCCTCTCCCTTCTCAGAGAAAACCTCCATTAACTTTGAATCTCCTTCAAATTTGAGCTCAAACATTCATTCTTCTCAGATCTAAGCAAGTTTCTAGAGCTTATCTCTTGGATCTCTCCTATTTCTTTTTTATCTTTTTCATTATAGAAATATACCTTGTGATGTTAAGAATAACTCTTGTCCTTGGATAGTATGTTAGATCGAGACGTGGAGTTTCTCTTTAGAACACATGAAGAACATAGTTTTTGAAATCTATTTCCAGGTAAGGGGAGTTGATCTCAAACCCTAACTTCGGTATTTTATTTTGGGTAATAGAACCTCAATGATTCTTTAAATTCTATTACTAAAAATGAAATTTTGGGTATGAGGAACCAATAATTTAATTCAAAGATCATTTAGATAAGACTTTATAGTGAAAAGATAAGTAACTAAGCTTTTGAGAAATTTTTAGGATTTTACTATTATTTATGTATGGACAAGTGATATTGAACTTTAGGATAGACCACTTTGTTATTACTAAGAAAGTGTGTATGTTGGGTTGTACGATTGGGCTGAGTCCGGAGGTATCTGACCTTTGGCACATTGTATTGATTTGGGTGGTATGAAATTGTTTGAGAATCTTTTGTGCTAGATGAATGTTTGTTGATGACTGAGGTATGTTGAAATGGATGAAATTAGGTTATTAATGAAAAGTGTTATATTATTCTCAAAATGTATAAAAGTAAATGATATGACATGATGAAGGAATTATGAGAGATGTGATTGTAATACACGAGTCAAATGAATTGATGATTGTTATTATGATACAGGTGTTGTGGTACATCGAAAGGTATACTCAAAATACCTGTATTGTAATATATTAAGTTGTGAAATCAAGACTTACGTATTATGACACATTGATCTATGAGAAGAGTATATAGAAGAATGAGAATGAAAATGAAATGAGAAATGTTGAGAAA